CGCTGAAGAGGACGATGTGCAGCCTGCTCTCAGGAAGCAGGCGGCAAGCGTTCTGACCTGGCTACTGATGGCGGTCGAGAAGACTTTTTAATTATTTTTTTTGAACTTCACGGACAATGTATATCTCACCACTGATTACATCGCCCTTCCTGCATTGAGAATTTGAGAAAATTCAAAGACAGATTTGAACCCAGGACTAAATAACCCAGGGAATAAGGCCAAAGAAAGGTGAGGGTGGCTCTAGGAGGCTGGATTGTAAGGCCTACAATTTTATGGGCTGCCTTGACATCTTTGAACCTTACAGAACTGTGAGTTCCCCTGCCCTCACCAGGCATGCCCCTGACCCAGGAGGCAAGGTCTGCCACCTGACCAGTCAGTCCCCTATCAGTTACTTACCAAGCACCAGCCTAATGGGTTTCACTTCACTGCCAGTCTATGCAATTACTCAAGCAAGACAGGAACATCCTCGCATGGGAACATGGGGTTACCTGGTCCTCTTGGTACTGCAAGGCATGACCCCCATGGCCCCTGCCGGTCCACTCTGTTCCCGAGCGCAAGCCCATGAGGCCCTGCACGGCACGCTGTGTCTTCCTCCCGCAGGCAGTGAGTCTGGTGACTAATAAGCTGCGGTCCATCTCATCTGTCCAGTGGGGGAAGGGGTACATTTGGGCTTCTCCCACTATTTAGAACAGGAACCCCACCCTCACCAATAGGGTAAGTAGGAAATCATCAGAACAGAGGGACATTTTGAGTCACCAGGCTTTTGGAAATATGCTGTATGTACAAACTCTTACTACCAGCAGCCAAGCCCCAGTTGCTTTTCCTTTGCCTGTGAAGCAGAGCTTACTTCTCTGAACAATGCAGTAAGTTTTAAAAGCTGACTGGTGTAACAAAGGAAGGAAGTGTCTTAGAGAAAACAACAGGGCTGGGTGAGGTGGCCAATGCCTGTAATCTCAGCATTTTGGGAGGCTGAGGTGGGCGGGCAAGGAGTTTGAGACCAGCCTGGGCAACATAGTGAGACCCCCCATATCTAAAAAAATAAGAAAAGAACAAAGAAACCTGGCTGGGCTGGTAGCGTTCCTTTAGTCCCAGCTACTCAAGAGGCTGAGGTAGGAAAATTGCCCCAGTCCAGGAGGTCAAGGCTGCAATGAGCTTTGACTGTGCCACTGTACTCTCCAGTCTGAGTGACAGAGCAAGGCCCTATCTCAAAAACAAAAAAAAACAAAAAAAAACAAAAAAAAACAAAAAAAAACCCACTCCTCTCTTATTTCACTTCTGCTTGCAATGGCAAAATGCTGCCTCCTGGGATATCCAAGATAACTTAGCTGCTGTGATGCTAGGCTAACCTGAAAAGTGAACGACTGAAATTCTATCTCTAGAAAAGACAGATTCGTTGTCTTATTAGTTCTATACTTAGATAAATTATCACTAGGATCACTAAGCAGAATTTTCTGTGAGATCATTTTTCTAAAATCTCCACTACAGACTCATCTACTCACCTGAGGATTATGAGTTTTATGGAGCAAAATTTGCCTAGAACAGGTTGTCAGCCTCTGTGGACACAGTCTGTACCTTCGGGAATCCCACTGGAAGAAAGAACAAGTGAAGCATCCTAAGGACTGGAGGATTCTCTTCCCCCAGGGCCTTCAAGGAAGACACTGGGGAACAAATCGAACAAAGTTTATTTCATCAACAATGAAAAATGCCCAGAAGGAAATGAAGCACAAAATTTGGTCACACAAAAATGAAAGCTATTGACCACCTGGCCGCCTCTCATACTAAAAGAGAAGGAAATAACACAAAGTACTGGAATAGGCATTATCTTACCCTCATGGTGATGACCAAGATGGGCCTGACATAAGCTAGCCCAGGCTGTATGTGTGGCCTGAGTGGTTCTCTAGCCACTGTGGTTCTCACATGTGGTTCTCTAGCCACTGAATCGGAATCAGCCAGGCCCCACGGGTCAGAGTCTCTGGGGGCTGTGACGCTGCATTGGAAACATGTCCTTGGGGAGTTCTGAGGGTTTGCCGAGGTTTGAGAGCCACTGGTGTGACTGACTCCAGTGAAATGGCCCTACTTTTACTGCTGTCAACTGTCATTTATATACATTCAGGCAAAGAATGGCGTTTTCGGAATGATGCCCAATGTAGCAAATAAAATGACCTCAACATACAGTTTATTTTTGCTGCAGTCTTTTCTCAGATGGGAAGAACTGATTATCCCTCTCCGCCACTTAATTTGTTCCCTCGAGGTTTCACAGCATCCAGAAAGTTCAGTGTTCCCACGTCCACTTCTCATTGCCTTGCCAAGTTTCTGTTGAGGAAGGCTGCCCATCTCTTGGGCCAGTCGGGCATTTTCATTCTGCAGGTGTACACAGCACACTCCACATGAGTGTGGAATGCCTACTTCAGGCCATGCCAACGACGATAACCAGGAACTTCTTACACTCACCTCCAGCTGAGTGAAATCACACTAAGAGGTGATCACTTAAAGGGCACACGGCTCAGCCCTTCCTAGACAGTCTGATGTCATCCCAACATCTGAAGTCTGGAGTAAGCCAGACTTCAAAGAACCACAGGTACAGACCATTTGCCTTGGCCCCAGAACCTTTTCCTTAAAATGTGCCTTATCATAACCATCTCACCATCCCCTGAGGGAGGCCTTAATTAATCATCATTCCAAGCCTGCCGTGCTGAAGATGTCACCCACTGAACCACTCAGTGTCCCCTCTATGAATGAATGCACACGAACATTTTCTTTCACATCTAACCTGTATTTTGTTTTTTAGAGATCGCTTCTCATTTTGTCACCCAGAATAGAGTGCAGTGGCACAATCGGCTCGCTGTAACCTCGAACCAGGGAAGATATGTGACTTAGAGCAAGAGATCATCACCTCTTCCTTACTGCTGTGGTGAGAAGGAAATGCAAAGCTAAAAGTACAGTCCAGATTTTCGCAATTATTTAGGACCTATGACCAATATTCTCCATTACAACCGGGGGTGGGCTGGCGGGGGTACATATGAGCATGAGCACACTTCGTCTACCACTTCCTCTGGGAAAGATTTTCTGCAACACTCTGCGGATACTCATGCCTACCAGAAACTGGAAATTCCAAGGTTTGAGACCAAGCTACTGATACACCCAAAGCACTAACCAGTCCCTGCCGTCTGCTAACAGAAATCTTCATGCCCACAGTTGTTCACAGCTCCTTCCGCCTTTCCCATGGCCCTTGCAACAGAAGCCTCAGAGCCTCTCATGTGGGAGTCATGCGGGGGTCCCTGGGTCCAGGTCTTCGCTGCTCATAGAAGTCCAAGCATTGTCTAAGTGACTAGGAGTGGCTGATGACTCATGGACTGAGGAAAGGAGAGTGGGAGGGGAGCCCACGGAACCCGTGTCCACCCCAGCACCACAGCCCACAGATTCTCCCCGGTCTCCAACACGGAGAAGGCAACGCGGGACACAGTGAGGATGGAACTGGGCATCAGAGGTGAGGTAGGATCTGCAAGCTGCACACCGGCTGGTCTTCTGCCATGGCTCAAGTGAAAATGAAAGCAGAAACTGCCCAGAGGGACTGGAGCAAAAAAAAAAAAGGACTGTTCCTCCTCTGTCCAGCAGATGGCACACGAAGCACTTCCTTCTCACCTGGGAGGAAAGGGGTACCAAGGGTGACTGCAGGTGACAGATGCTGGGGAGCACTTCTAAACTCACAGGGCCTTTCCCTTAAAGCTATGGAGAAGAATGAGCCTCTCGGTGTGAGCTGACACTTCTGATGCAGGGAGATGCCTCCATTCATGGCCACTCAGGGATTGGTTTGATGATAAAGCATCAAAAAAATTTTAAAATTTAAAAATAAACACAGCTTAGCAGTGTGTAAATATACAGAAAGGCTATGCACATGGCTGAGAGAAGGAAGCACGGTTAAGCAGGTGCCACATGTGCCTGGGCACTGCCCTAGAAACACTCATGACAGCATCTTCATATGAAATTCTAAAGCATGCGGACTTCAATCATAAAGAGGCTCCCCAGCGAGCACTGACGATAGACCTAGACCACAGCTCCCAGGGACTTCTCAACAGTGGCAGCCGGAAGGAAGGTTAGTGGTCACTGTTCGGTGTCATCCCGCACTTCCAGACATCTCGATTTATAAAAGGCTTCCAAAGCCTAACGGGTCATTAGGGTGAGGAGCCATTATTTGATATTTAAGCTCAGAAACCAAAAACAGCTACACAGATGGCACCCCAACTCATGCAACCTGGCCGGAAACATTCAAAACTGGTTTACGCCACCCAGGCAGCTGCAGATCACAGAGAGGTACACGGATAGCCAGGGGCAGAGAGAGACTCAAGGCCAACCGAAGAATCTGCAGAGAGGCAGTCGGTGCACAGGGGCTGCACTCTGCAACGCCAGGCTAGCAGGCCAGCCCCACCCCCGAGGTGGAAGCTACTGCCTTGACCTTGGCAGATGTTTTTTAGCTGACCTTGGAATGTTCCACCCATCACATCAAAACCATCTGACATGGGGCTGGAAGAGACTGCTCCTTCACTTTCTCGAAAGGCAGCTAGAGTCACTAAAAGAATACCTTTCTCCTTTTAATGACAAAAGCCATCATAGCGAGTGAAGTTAAGATCTATCTTGTTTGAAAGTCAAGGTGACCATGGCTGAATGACAGCAGCAGTAGCAACAACCAGCATTGCTCTCGTACCAGTCATTGACACTGCACTACGATTTGAAAAGGTCTCCCATTCCTTGGCTCCCACACTTCATTTCCTCAAAGACAATTATCCCTTTGAAAACTCTTGTGAGAACAAAATTCCCACTGTGAAAAGAGCAGAAGTGCTTTCCTCAGGTCCAGGCCGGCAATGGTTTCTTTAGCCTGTTCTCATTATTCAGTGTATTTGGGTGGCTTTTTAAATGCCTGCAGGAAAGATTTTATTATCTTTATGCCCTTCTCCTGAACCTCTGTGTGTGTGTGCGTGCACATGTGCACACGTGGTATGCTGTCAGTCTTCATCAGCAGCAAGTCTCCACCTGGAGCACAGGTAGACACAGCCGCTGCACAGCACGAGCAAGACCAGCACCGTGTGGCTGAGCGCCAGGACCCCGACTGCAAAGAGGTACAGGGTTTTGTCACAGTAGTCCTGCGGCTGCTGGAAAGGGGGAAGGAAATCAGGCAGGTATACAGAAAAGACCCAGTAGTTTCCCAGGATGAACCAGAGGAAGAGGAAGAGGCTCAGCAGGAGGTGAATGTAGTATCTGTGTGCATTTTGCCTCCAGGGGTATTCGTCGTCATCATCGTCATCGATCACCACGGCCTTGGACAGCAGCCGCCTCATCCTGGTGGAGTCGTATAACAAGAGAGACACCTAGGGAGTGGTAGGGAGCCAGGGTGGCAGGGCAGAGCAGCAAAACAGAGGGGAGGAGGGGGTATAGAAGGTAGCCACGGCAGGGTGTTGGGGGCAGGGAAAGAGAGAGAGGAAGGTGTTATGAAAAGTGCACACGCCAGTTAGAAATGCCACCAAGCAGCGACATTTAATTTGAAGAATGAGAATTAACACTGGCAAGAATGAAGGCATAAATTCATTGCCAGCATCCTCAGTGGTGCTTTCCTTTTAGATGTGTGAGTTGGTTTGGACAAGATGTTAGCTGGGGTGACTTATCTCTGCATCAAGGTTCAGACCGACTCTCCCCTGTATTGTGCTAGCACATTTGCACCCACACATAATGTAAAAAGGATTCCTGGTCCACATGCTAGAGGACCTTGAAATAGATCCCTCTGTCTTGGGAGGAACCAGACTTCTCCCTGGTACTTCCAGACCATGTAATGAGCCTGGCTGAATCCCTCCCCACCCCAGCCCCGCCCAGCCTGCTCTCCCTTTTCTTGGACCACTCCTCATCTCAGGCATCTGGAATTCCCAAGTGGGGTTGTGGATTGAGAGTGCTGTCCCTCTTGTCCTCGTACATCTTTCAAGTCAGGAGCACAGACCCTTGTCCTTTAAGTGATACTCTTGGGGACAAAGACCATCTGGGCCACTGGTAGATGGTCCCTGACTCCAACCAGACACTTATTTGAAATTGTGCTCCCAGTTGTTTACACAGGACACCACAACCCACCCGACTCTAACTGGCCACAGGTGCCTCTGGAAATGCAGTGGCAGAAGAACACAGGTTGTCTCCCCATCTTCTGTGCCTAGCGACTTGATCTGTGAATTTTTGAAAGCCTGGCCTGTCATTTGCTCTCTCTGGCTTCCCAGGTGGCCTGCCTCTCCCAAGGCCAAGCTCATGGCACCCCTAACCCTGTAGAGCAGGGCATTACAGAGAATCCTTGGGTGACGGAGGATGTGGCCGACTGGCAGAGACAGGGAGAGATTCTGAGCTTGAGAGAAATGGAAGGGCAAGTGGGAGCCAAGAGATGCAGCTAGCTGGGCTCCAAACTGTGCAGAGAAGCAAGGATAGAATCAAGAGAGACAGAGAGACGGGAACAGCGAGCCCCAAGCCATGCCTTCGGGTGGGTGATGACTCCAGGTTTAGACGTGCTCCTTGTAAAATTCTGGATGGAAATGCAGGGGACAGTGGCCCATGGAGGGCAGAGTCAGAGCCTGGAGGTGAACAGAGAGGTGAGAACTCCCGGCAGAGATCTGGGAGTTACCCCTGGGGAGGTGATAGTGACTCTGGGAATGGATGTGGTACTAAAGCAGACCACAGTGCTGGGCAAATGCTCAACATACATTATCTCAATGAATTCTCCCAGCCTGCGGTGAGAGGTACTAAATAAACACCTGCGCAGGACCAAAACTAGAGCCATGGCACCAAAATGTCAACAGGGATTTTCTTTGGGTGGTGAAATTTACAGAGGATTTTGATTTTCTTCTTTGTGCTTATCTGCATTCTTTGATTTTCCACAGTGGAGAGTTATTACTTACGGAAAGATAACAAAACCTAAGGAAAGTGGTTAGTTCAATGCTTGGTATGTGTGATCTTTAACGTCTATTCTAGCCTGGGGCTGCGAATCATCCCTGTTGCCCAGATGAGGAAACTAAGGCTCAGAGAAGTTAAGTCACTTCACTCAGATCCACAGTGAGTAAGAGAATGAGAAGGGCAGTGGTCCACGCCTCTCTGACCACTGTCTACATCACAGTACACTGATGTTGAAATCGGAGGAAATTAAGTTGGAGGGGTCTCTCCTAAGACTTTCAGCCTGGCTGGGAGGCAGAATATCTCCGCAAGAAAAGGAAAGTAAGGTGTTAGGCGAGTTCAGAGAGCCACCCACCATAGAGCTGACTCATCCAGGGAGGGCTTCCTGGAAGAGGGGGCATATTTTGGACCCCTATGCACAAGGAGAGGTGTGAGGGTCCTCCTCTGAAGAACAGTGGTGTGACAAAGGTAAAGCATGGTGGGTTTAGGGTAGGGAAAAAGCCAACAGACTGCAGTACTTGGCTGATGGTAGCTGTGTGCTTGGGCAAGCCGAGGTTGGACACCAGCTCTGCCGTTTCCTCACCGTAAGCTGGAACTGAGAATCCAGCTCAAGCTTCCGTCACTCAGATGCATTTCCCTTCCTTGCAGGGACCCGTTCCTTGGAGGAATTTCCCCCGCTACCTGCCGCATGTCCACAGATCTGGCTGCCCTCCCAGGACTGGTTCCTGGCTACAGTGATGCCAGGAGAAAGGAACCAGCCCTAGGAGAGCTGTGTGGCAAGTGGGTCCCACTGCCCAGGCTTTCTGGAGCCACCTGACCCCATTCTCTCCCCCTATCCTTTGAAGGTGTGAGTTCTTCCAATCAATTACCTCTTAAGTTAGCCAGAGTTGATTTTTTTTGTCCCTTACAAAGAATCCTTCCTGAAGCAAGTACCTGCCTCAAAGGGGCATGGTGAGGACTGAATGAGCTCCAAATGAGGGCAGAGCTGTCAGGATGGCACCAGCAAAAAGCATGTGCTCACTAGGGGTAGCAATTACCACTAAGAAGGGTGCTGTGGGAAGATGAGGGGGAGCGCAGGGTAGGCGATGGTCACTGATTCCATATTTTGGAAACTCTCTTTAACACAACCTTCAGTAACAAACACATTTTATGTCAAGTCCTAGTAACAGGACAGCTGCGTGTCCTCGTTGGCTTAGAGAAGTCCTGGTGTACATTGTTGTTCTGGCACGATGATCATTAGAGCCCCCTTTGTAATCTCCAAAGTGTCCCAGTTAGGGTATAAATTATATGGTCAATGCTCCCAAACACACACATGTCCATACGTAAGTATCACACACTGCTTAACTTACTAAGCACTCTAACTTTCTATTTTATTTTTTAAATAGTGGGTCACAACCTACTTAATTCATTTTTTAATCTTCTAGTGGGTCATGACCCTCGGTTCTTTTTGAAAGCTTCAGGAAATGTCAGCTCACATCTCTTCAAGTTTCTCTTCATAGAATGCAATACTGTGAAGCTATCTGATGCATTTCACTAAGGATGTTGGGACCACACAGGTAGGGTCTGTGGTTGAATACAAACCATCCTCATCATAGGTAAACTTCTGCCTCTGGGGACTCTAACCCTGTTTGCTGCTGCTCTAATGGTTATGGACTCGCTGTATATTATCTTGCCATCATGAGCACAAAAATTTAATTTGGCTTCAAACGGTTTTAAATTGCCAGGGATAAAAATCAATGCTGCTTATTAGGGCCTTAGTTTGTTCATTAAAATAAATTACCTTTGGGTCCTGGGCTGGCCTTCAGAAAGGAAAAGTCCGCTGTTATTAGGAGGAGCAGACCCCATGGACAATAATAGCTCTAAAGGAAAGCTCCGCTCGGCAGCCTGACGTTGAGGGAGTCGAGTGAGAACGGGAGGGCAGAGGTAATTACTGCTGGAAATGTTGCCCTTGTTTTGAGCATCTCTATGGCACTCAAACCATCAGAGCCTTTCCTTAACACTGTGGGGGCCATGGGGAAAATGTGGCCCCGCTGAGCCAGGCCCCTTTGTGTTTCCTTGGAACTGAACAGAGTCCCAGGTAGATCCCACGGGATGTTGCAATGAGGACGATCACGTGTATTTGTACATTTTAGGACACTGCCCACCAGGCGGCGGTCAGGAGATGGGGGCTTTTAACAGCAAGGTAATCTCAGACACAAAAGCCTCCAAAGGTTTGCCCCAAACTGACACAAGAACAGAAAACCAAATACCGCATGTTCTTACTCATAAGTGGGTGTTGAACAATGAGAACACATGGACACAGGAAGGGGAACATCATGCACCGGGGCCTGTTGGGGGTGGGGGGCTAGCGGAGGGATAGCAGAGGGTGGGGAAATAGGGGGAGGAATAGCATTAGGAGAAATACCTAATGCAGATGATGGGGTGATGGATGCAGCAAACCATCATGGTATGTGTATACGTATGTAACAAACCTGCACGTTCGTTACGTGGACCCCAGAACTTAAAGTATAATTTAAATAAATAAACAAATAACAAAGGTTTGCCCCAAATCAGACGTCTCCCAAGACAGAGTTGAGCTTGTGGCTACTGATTGCATATGAGAACTGCAATTTTTAAGACATTCCTTTGATGTCTTAGATCAACAGCGTGACCAGCACCACTGGCCAGGCTCTCTCGAAGGATCCCGGCACCAGAAGGCAGCTGGCAAAGAAACCTGACAGTGCGTCCGAATGAAAGTCCACATTTGGCACTCTTGACACAGTTTTCTCATGTTACTGCTTTGTTTTTATGAAACCATCTGGGAAAATGAATGCTCGTGTTTGCTGGCTCTGATACAGGAAGTGGTGAGGTGGGTTTGGAAGGCTGGGAAGAGTTATTGATAGCCGGAGGCTGATCTAAGCTTCTCTTGGTAGGTGTAACATTTCTGTGGGCCAGAGATCTTGAAAACAACTGCAGGCTATGCACACCCCTGATATTTCTTCTTCAGTTGCTTTTCCTGTTTAAACAAATGTCAATACAGCCCAGGAGCAGATCAATTACATAAGCTTGAAAGTCACAGAGAAGGACTCCCACCCCAGACACGAGAATACTTGAACAGTTGATTGATAACTGCAGCCAATTAATCCTATGTTAGTCAATTGAGAACTAGGTGGTATAGTTAAAAGCAGAAATCAGAACTGCTAAATCAAGCATATTTTAACCAAATACAAATGCTGCCCTCAACAAGAAGCTCCCCCTCCCCCGCAAAAAGCAGTAACAGTACAAAGAAAGGCCATGATTTCATTGGCTGAATTCAGTGGTATAACTGTCAGTCAGGGACTCCACTGCATCAGCTCTTGCCAGACGAAAGCCACAGCTTAGTACACTGAACTCAATAGCAGGAAGGAAGCTCTTGCAAAGAGGCACGGCCCTGGGTAAACGCCCTGCATCTGGAAAAATCTGTGTCTCCGGAGCCAGCCCCACCACTTCAGCAACCATGCTTAGAGGGAAGTTATTCTGGCTCCCCTGCGAGGAGCAAGGAAGTAACAGATGCATTCTAGGATGCCTGTGAGTTAAATTTCTACAAGGGCTACGAACAACAGATAAAAGATACTTTACCTTTAAGGTACCGACGATGCCACCCACTAGCAAATATAAAGGAATGAGGGGCTGTATGGGGCAGTCCTCCAAAAACTTCATTCCTACATAGGGCAAACAGAGGAAGATTGAGAGAAAGACATTCAAGAGCACAAAGCCCAGTTTTGAAAATGAGTGGAACACCTTCAAAAGCCAAAATGTTCATCATGCAAACCATATGCTTGTAGGATCTGCTCAGCCCCACCAGTCATCTGATCCTCAGGACGCTCAGTGGCTTGACGCCACAGAACTGGCTATCACAGCGGAGTGGTGATAAATCCTCCCGCAGGCAAGGCAAGGAGCAGGTGTCACTGCACCTTTTTTCTGGGTATTAACTGGCTATGGGTTGCACTCTGCTCGTCTGAAAAGCCAGTGTATACGAACTCAAGTTTTCAAGGATTCAGGATTCAATGTACAGTTTCCTTGATATGCTTAAAATAAGATTCAATTTAGGAGTCACATTTCCAAAATGTGACTCTGTGTGAATGAGGGTCTCATCTACTCTGCTTCCAGGGGCCAGGTGGCAGGTGGCAGGGAGGAGCTGCTCTTCCTCCTTGTGCAGCGAGCCCTCTGCTGTGTTAGACACAGTCACCATATGATCACCATTGACCATGTCACTGGCTGGACCCCACACTGGGAAACATGTGTGAACTCATATATTCTTAGCAACCAGATGCAGAGTACTAACAAGCCAGCCTGCCCAGACGTCTACCTTTTCTTAATGGTAATTTTTCTCCCCAAAGCAATGCTCTGTCTACCTTTCTCAGGTCTTTGTTCTCTAGACCCATTATTAACTGATGATATGGTGTGTCTATTTAAAATATAAAGAAGAAATGCCCATTTCCCTCAGCGACCAGTCTGGCTCAAATGACCAGGCTCCAGATAGATTCTAACACACACCTTTGCTGTGGGAGACACTGACTGCCCAGCATGTGCCTCCCACATTGCCCACCTCCCTTCCTGGGTAGCAAGACAGTCTGACCAATTCTGACCAGTGGGCCATGGGACACTTTGAGGCCAAAGCATTTACTTATTTATTATTTTTGAGAGAGAGTCTCGCGGTGTTGCCCAGGCTGGAGTGCAATGGCATGATTCAGTCGTAATTCACTGCAGCCTCAACCTCCCGGGCTCAAGCGATCCTCCCACCTCAGCCTCCTGAGTATCTGGGATCACAAGGATGTGCCACCATGCACAGCTAATTCTTTTTTTTCTTGTATGGAAGGGGAATTCACTATGTTGCCCAGGTTGGTCTCAAACTCCTGGGCTCAAGTGATCCTCCTGCCTGGGCCTCCCAAAGGGTGGGATTACAGGCATGAGCCACTGTGCCCAGCCCAGGCCAAAGCATTTAAAAACTGATACATGATTTGTTGTTTGCTTCCTCTACTTTGACCACCTGGAAGCCATGGGTGGAGATGGCTAGTTCTCAAGGTTGAAGCAGCTTGGAGTATTATGTCATTACACGGCCTGGGAAGTCCCCATGCCCCTGACCCATGATAGAATTTGCATAAGCAAGAAATAAGCCCCTATAGTGTCAAGCCACTGTGATTCCAGGGTTCATTTGTGACCACAGTACAGTTAAGTTCCCCTGACTAATACATTTGTCAGAAGAGTCCAAGGAAAAGAATTCTTACTGTAGAACCAAAGCCTCCTGTTTAAATGACATTTAGACTTTAGCTTTGATTTGACATTTTATTTCCCACGAGTGCCTTGATACTTAAGCAGAGGGAGTGAGCCATTTTTCTATGACTACACCATATCCCATTGACATGAACAAAATTTTCTAGGTATACAAGAGCCATAAATTCAGGCCCAAAACAGAGCTTAGTGAAATATACACGTTGATCCAATCATCAACCAGCAGAGGCTTGTCTTTTAGTTATCTCTGATGTTTAGCCGAATTCGTTATTAAATGAAAATATTTTCCAAGTCTCAACACAGGCTTTTCACACAAACACCTTTAAGTACTTGGTGCCAAATCTGTTGGACATGCACTGCCTTTCAATTCAAAGGCCAGCTGTGAAATGAACATTGAGTAATGGTTTCGGTATCTGCTCATTCCCAGTGAATAAAAACAGCTGCTGTTCACAGGAGAGTCAATCAGTGCACGGATGGCTTAAAACGATCCTAATAAATGTAATAAGAGCCATCTTTCCCCCTGTGTTCTCACGTACTGCTTAGGACCTCCTTTACCTCGAGATTTTCTTTCTTGTCTGACCTGCAGTATCACAATTACTGCCTTTGCCTTTAGATCTCTCCCTAGTTCAGATAACAACTACCAGATGTAGCGATTTTTAAAATATTTGTTATTGTGATAAAATATCTCAACAAAAGTTGCCATTTTAACCATTTTTAAGTGTACAGTTCATCGGCATAATTACGTGCATCATGCTATGCAACTATCGCCACTATCTATTTCCAAAATGTTTCCATCATCCAAACACAAACTCTATAACTAATATTGCTCTATAAACATTAACACTCCAAACACCCTTTCTACAGTGGATGTGGTGATTTTAATATAATAGCCATGGGAACTGGCTTGTAGGGTCTTGTCACTTTTATGCAGCCTTATTGGTGGATGAATTGTTGCAGTTAAGTTCATTTGAACGATAACTGGGCGGGCACCGTGGCTCATGCCTGTGATCCCAGCACTTTGGGAGGTCGAGGTGGACAGATCACTTGAGGGCAGGAGTTCAAGACCAGCCTGGCCAACATGGTGAAACCCCATCTCTACTAAAAATACATAAATTAGCCAGGCGTGGTGGTGGGCGCCTGAAATCCCAGCTACTAGGGAGGCTGAGGCATGAGAATTGCTTGAGCCTGAAAGGCGGAGCTTGTGGTGAGCCAAGATTACTCCACTGCACTCCAGCCTGGGCAACAGGAGACCCTGTCTCTAAAGAAAAGAAAAGAAGCTGGGCACGGTGGCTCAAGCCTGTAATCCCAGCACTTTGGGAGGCTGAGGCGGGTGGATCACGAGGTCGAGAGATCGAGACCATCCTGGTCAACATGGTGAAACCCCCGTCTCTACTAAAAATACAAAAAACTAGCTGGGCATGGTGGCGCGTGTCTGTAATCCCAGCTACTCAGGAGGCTGAGGCAGGAGAATTGCCTGAACCCAGGAGGCGGAGGTTGCGGTGAGCCGAGATCGTGCCATTGCACTCCAGCCTGGGTAACAAGAGCGAAACTCCGTCTCAAAAAAAAAAAAAAAAAAAAAAAGACAAAAAAAAAGAAAAAAAGAAAGAAAAAAAGAAAAGAAAAGAAAACTAACCACATGGTCCAAAGGCTGGGGTTCTCTTACCTTACAGATTTGCATAGAACGCCCTCTGGAGGGTATGCCCAACTTCCTAAGCAGGATATGCCTAACATCTTGTGAACTCTGCTTGGAAGAACAGAGCCACATGGTAAATGTTAATTTTTGAATTGCACTATAAGCATCATAGCACCAGGGCCTGCTGAAGTGATTGCATTGTTCACTCTTACACTAAATGGCCCCAGACTACTTGGCTGTTTTAGTTCTCTGCAAACCTTAAAATCTTCTTTTTTATTTCTTGTCAGGCTGTCAGCTTTCATGACTTATAGATCTAAGGATACTGTTTTTCTTTCCATTTTTAGTATTGTGGCTTTTGGCAGGGGTGGTAGGGTGAAACTTACATAACAAATAAACCATTTTAAAGTGAATAACTCAGTGACATTTAGTGGATTCACAATGTTGTGCAACTACCACTTCTATCCAGTTCAAAAACATTTTCATCACCTTGGAAGGAAGCCTCCTACCCATTAAGCAATCAGGGTACCGGGTGTTTCGTTGTTTTGCAATAATTCCTATGCCCTTTTACTTTATGCTTCAATATGCTGTGAGCTTGGACCTAGAACTCTGGGCCTGCTGAGCTTCTTTTTTGGAGGGGGTTGGGGGAAAGACCGTGTCTCACTCTTGATGCCCAGGCCGGAAGTACAGTGGCATGATCATCTCACCTCAGTCTCCCGAGTAGCTGGGATTACAGGTATATGCCACCATGCCCAGCTAATTTTTAAGTCAAGACTTGCATTTTTTTGGTAGAGACAAGGTCTCACTATGTTGCCCAGGCTAGTCTCAAACTCCCGAGCTCAAGTGATCGGCCCACCTCAGCCCCACTAAATGCTGGGATTACAGGCGTGAGCCCCCGTGCCTGGCCATGCGAGGCTTCTAGGTAAATAGGGGTAGCTACGTTTTGTACACAGGGCTCAGGGGATCCCATTAGCAATGTTCAGGAGCATAAGATTAATTTCACTGACACATGATAACGATTTTTAGCTACTCAAGGAGCTTCCCCTATCCTGCCCCTCTCCCCACTTCTGCAAGATATCACACTTCTGGGTTATGAGGTTTAGTACGCACAATTTATGGAAATATTTACTCATTCATTCAGCAAAAAACATGTATAGAGTGCCCACACATCACCTAGCGCCAGCTGCACTTTTTGTATGGCTCGCAACCTGCTTCCACAAGGGAACACAGGAACAGGGAAGGGACTCTGGGAAACCTCTAGTCCAGTCACTTCCAAACTTGGGCTAGAGGGATCAGAAGCATCTGGGGATAGATTTCTAAAAGCAGGAGTCTGTCCTCACCCAGACACATTGTATCGATATCTCCCAGGGTGAGCCCCAGGAATGCATATTTTAAAATGTTCCCCAAGTCATTTTGAGATGGCACATAGGTGTCTGGGAATCACCGGGCTGGCCAGTTCTTAAACACATACTTAATGTTTAAAGATTACATGCCGTGTGCCCATGCCCCAACCTGGCTGACCTGTGGCGTCCAGTAGCTCGGCAGGCAGCTTACCTATGAAGGCCATGGACAGCGGCAGAGCCAGGAAAGCGCAGAGCACAAAAACGAAGCAGGCTGCAAGGAGAAGAAGGGGCAGGCACTGGATTAGAAACACACAGACCCTGGCATTCCCTCTTCACTGCAGTTTCTTAAGCATCCTGTGAAACCTGACCTTCTCTCCAGTGGCAAGTCAGCAGACAGGAGGAGAAGGTCGCAGCTCGCCTGGGGCTCCCACATGGTGGATGCAAGCCAAGACCTGCATTTCTCAGAGAGCTCAACATCTCTCGTCATCACTCTGCCAATGCCAAGGCCCAGATTTCCTGCAGGCCCTCTCCAAGCCTGACAGCTTATAGAAAAGGAGTTTATAAACTGCCACTGTGCCCGTGCCAGGGTGCAAGAAGCTGCTGGCATCCACTGAGCCAGGCAGGATCCACCCTGTGCTTCCTGGGTGCCTGTACCCAGGGCAGATGGTTCTTCTCTTCCCTGGATAAAATTCACTGACAACTCACTTTATCACTTAAAGTATTTGCTTCACAAAATTGTTTTCCCTTGCCATTCATTTGGTTATCTATTCCATATCATCATTTGGTTATCTATTCCTATCATCTATTCCATTCATTTGGTTATCTATTCCATATCATGACATTAGGTGGCCTCCTAAAACTTCTTGCTGACACACAGTATAATAGAGCTTTGAACTGGTTTGGGGTTTTTCTTTCTGCTCATGCCAATTCCACTTTTAGACCTTGGGAAAGAACAGAGGAATGGGGCTACACAGCCTTGGGTCAAAATCCTGGCCCTGTCACTCACTGGCCATGTGGCTTTGGGCAAATTCGTTGACCATCTTGAAGCCCTGTTTTCCTCTTCTGTAAAACGTGAGGACTTCAGTGTATGGCAACTTTGATGATTAGGCAATTACTTTCCTGCTTTGCTTCTTGGTTTCCTCATCTGTTAAATAGACTGCAGATATAGGTTTTCCTTGGCCAGCATGTTTTTGGAAAGTATTAATTTGAATGCCTCTTGGGTAGGTCTACCCTCTAGTTCCCTCTTTCAAACTCTTGACAGCATCACATGTCTGGGTTTTCCGCTGAGTCCTGACAGCAGAGAGAGCATCTCCGAGTGAGTGTCATGGTAGCCTCTGCAATGTCTCCTCCTTCCTCTCCAGGTCATCACCTCAATTATTTTCGGGTACCCCCACTTCCCGACCTCCCTGTTCTCCTGTGCCGTTTATGTGCCCTGGCAAAAGCGGACCCCACCCTGGCCTTGGAAAAGGGCATGAAGTTTTACCCTCAATTAACCCACAGAGTCCCACTCACTGGATATGTTATTAGTGGATGGGCTCATGACTTATACTGGGAGATTGACTGAGAGTCAGGAAAAATCTTTCTCACTTTTCTGACAGAACTTCCAGAAACAAGGTTTCTCCCTCCCTAGCTACTGGTGAGGAATTGAATCACTCTGGGGGTGGTTGGCAGCCTTCTTGCCAACATGAGGGGAAGCCAGCCTATGAATGAGGCCAATGTCCTGGGAGGCGAGAGGAGAGGTAAAAAGAAAGTGGGTCCTCAGTGACATTCGTCACTCATGGAATCACACCACCTTTGATGCTAAACTACTTCTGGACTTGCCATTTACAGGCGCCAATAAATGCCCTTTGATACTTAAGCCAGCTTGAGTTGAGGTTTCTATATTTGTACAGAGCCCTCTGTACCTGGCTTAATCTGCAAGGTCCTTTGCAGTTTTGAATCGTCAAAGATCTGGGATTTATCTGGGAAACTGTCTTCTCTAGAGGAGGAGATCTAAGGCTGCAAGGGCCTCCAGCTGGGAGCCTCACGTGCACACTACCAGATGCCAGCTCTGATCTTGCTACCCACAGTGAGCAGGGTGCACAGGGCTGGGTGCTGCCCCTCTCTTAAAGAGACCCCAGAAGTTGCCCTCCATGACCATCTTGACCTTCACCTCCAGGAAATGTTGATGGGGACAGGCATGCAGAGTGATTTGCCCCAATTTCTACTCCTCCCCTCAAACCACCCCTGAGTTGACTCTAATGCTATCGCCAGAGCCAGCTTCACAGGCGTGCGACTTAACTACCCCATGCTTGGGTAGACCCAGCATCTGGTTTGATACTATTCTGTTGCCATCTTGAAATTCTAAATAAATTTCTCTCAAAATTGTGTATTGTAAGTGAAGCTGGACAGGATGGTGAGGCATACGTGTGAACAGAGGGGCCTGTGAAATGCTTGTGCAGGCTGCTCTTCACCGCCAATATTCACATTTAACTCTGCGAGACTCAGAGCCAATACAAGAAAAGCGTGTTGTGTCTTCAACTGAGTAAGCAGGGGGCTGACTGTCCTGAGAAGATATAATCCCATTTGAGCCAGAACTTGCTTCAGATGCAGACAGAAGGCAATGATGTTCTAAGAAACAGGAACCACCAAGGAACCCCACCAGCCCCTTTCTGACCCCTAAATTAGTATATCTTTTCCTCTCAGACCTTCTTCACCCATCCATGAGCAGAAGGCGGAGAATATGGGTAGAATGTGCCCGTATCAAGAAGCAAAATGAAGAGCTGTTAGTTTTGTGCATGTTTCCAATGTTCTGGTAAAAACAAAATACGTACGAGAACTATGAAACACAAGTTGTGTCATTTCAGTGACTCAGCATATAGTTAAACGCTCTTACAGTTGCCTTTAAAATGGGTGCATACGATATTAAGATAAATGGTAAAATACTAATAATAATTTTTTTATTAAATGGTAAAATACTAATAATTAATACTAATAATTTAATATACTAATTAAAAATTTTGATTTCCCCCTACTTAAAAATGACATTAAATAGCAAATAAAAAGGCCAAAAGAGAGGCTTCAGAAGAAAGGGAAAAGCTTTTTCTATTTTAGTCCGTTGAATGGTGCTTTTTTCTTGCCTTTTGAGCAAGGTGCTTTGCATTTTTGTTTTGCTCCGGGGTCCTGCTGGTCACGGGTGACACAGTGCTGCTGGCAGGTGTGGTGAGTTAGAGAGAATTTCAGTTAATCTAGCCACATCTGTTTTAATTCTCAGAGTGGGGGTCCAGGAAGAAATATCTTGCTGGCAAAGGATAGAAAGTCAGGGGTTGATGAATCCTATTCTATATTTCTGACCTTGGAGCTTGTTACCGGGATGATAAAAAGTGATCGGCATCCCGGAAAATCTTTCCCTGTGCTGCAAGCGTGAGGCAGATGGTGCCACCTGGCCACATATATAATCCAGGTGGTCAGTGACACAAAGAAATGGAGCAGTCCCCAGGGAGGCACCTGCCACCCAAGCTTCCTGCTGAAGGGTGGCAGAATATGTCGCCCCAAACTATGCAGCTATGGCATAAGGGTTATTTTGATCTAAAGGCACATTAAAAATAACAGATGGAAGACGGGTGCCCTGACCCTCTTTTTCTCCTTCTTGAAAGTGGGAAATCAAAGCCTCACAAAGAGGATATCCTCCCCATACCAGAGGAAGGCACCATTATTATCATCAAGGATGGGACACTGAGACCAAGAGAATTCTGTACAAACAGATTTTGTCAAAATCACTCTTGTGTTCCCTTAGCCTTCCCACATAGTTTGCCTACTTTTCTACAGTTGCCTCTCTTTGTTCAGCCCAGTATAAAAGCTGTTTTGCTGTTTCTTTGGGTTTCCGCTCCTTACAAAGGCTCTTGCGTCATGTAAACCTTGTACTAAATTAGTGTGCTTCTCTCCTGTTTGTCTTAAGTGAGTTTAATTCTCAGGCCCAGCTGAAGAGCCCTAAGAGTGGAGAGCTAAGATGTTACCTCCCCTTCACTACCTCCCAGCAGGGCTGAGAGAGATGGCCCGGGTCAGAACCTTCTCAATGACCACCTGGAGGAGGCTGTAAAGACTCATCACCTGCAGCCAGGACACCTGAATCCCAGCCCACTCCACTCCTCATGACCTGCAGCATGGACTGCAGGACTCTTAACCTTTGAGGTTTCAGTGTCCTCACTGCACACATGAGCACGATTACAAGACTTTCCTAACAGACTTGTCAAAATCATCAAATGGCATAATCCGTGTAGAGCACTAGACGCAGGGTCTGCCACATAACAAACATGGCTAAATGCTGGCCATTCTCATTACTGTTATTATTTTCCCTTCCTGATGGAAAGAGACTCAGGCTTCCCCTTTATTTCAGCCCCCACTTCAGAATCAAATGGAGAATCAAGAAAACAACAGGTGAGGTGTACACTGTGGTTCTCATGGTCTCTGGGCAGAGATGGGACTGTTCTACATCTCAGCTCCCAGGTGGGTGCCACCTTACTCCCTGGCCGTTCTCAGGCTGCGCCCTGGCTTCATCCAGTGGTCTGCTTCTCTGGATCACCTCTCCACTGAGGCTCACTCTCACTCACCGCACCTCCGAGCCGTGACTCTCAGGTTCTCACTGGCTGCTCTAGATCTCACAAACCAGGATCAGTACAAACAGTGCCTGGAAATCTGTATTTAAAAGCAACTTCCACCCTGACACGGTTGCTCACACCTGTATTTCCAGCATTTGGGGAGGCTGAGGCAGGTGGATCTCTTGAGCCCAGAAGTTTGAGACCAGCCTGGGCAACATGTCAAAACCCCGTCTCTACAAATAATACAAAAATTAGCCATGCATGATGGCGCACCTGTAGTCCTAGCTACTGGGGAGGCTGGCTGAGATGGGAGAATTGCTCAAACCCAGGAGTGCAAGGCTGCAGTGAGCTGTGATCCTGCCTCTGCACTCCAGCCTGGGCAACATGCAAGACCCCAACTAAATAAAATAAAATAAAAGCAACTCCCAGGTGATCGTGAAGTAGCCATGTTTCTGTAAGCTAGCTGGAAATCTTCAGGGGCTTCCTAGAGCCTGTCTGCTCAGGGTGGTGTGAGGTGCTGGGGCTGGGCTGGGTAGTAGGATCCACTGGGATGGAGTCATCAGTAGTTACCAGCATGAGGGTTTCTTTACAGTTGGTCCTAATAAGGACACCCAGGCCACAGTCAGGAATCAGGGAACCCCACTCTTGCCTGATCCCTTTGCCTCCTGGAGGATCTGGTTACCCAGTCCTCGTT